CCTTTTATTGAAAAAAATATTATGCACAGAAAATTAATGTTAGGGATATCAAAAGGAATAAATTTCACCTTATTGAATTGTTTTTGATGTGCAATGCAAGTTTTTAGAGGTTAGAGCCAATACTTATGGTGTCTGCATTGTTTCTGTTTTTGTGAAATTATTGAAAACCTACTCTGGCCCAAGATTCCTGTGTGTCTCAGTATGTTCAATATGGAGTTGTTAGAGTATGGATAGTGTTGACTCCTCTTTCTCCCAGCCCTGGCTATCCTCTCCCTCTTCAGCAGCAGCAAAGGGCCCAAGCCCACTCACAAAAAACAGCTGCCAGGAATATGAGTTCTACTCCCTTCCAGTTCAGGGTTTCTTCCATGTGATGCTGTGAAGAAGGTCAGGTAGAGTCACAGATACTTGGTTTATTTATGTTAAATGAAAAAAAGAGATGGCCTATAGAAGAAAAGAGATCATTGCTATATCCAGAAAGTTCTCAAGCTCACAGACCCCGTGCATGCCCCTTTCATCTTTCTCCATATGATCTTAGCCTGTGTCTGTGCAGACACCACCCTAGCTCTTCTCTCTCTTGTGGTCACAAGAATATAAATACTGTCCAGCCACTTCCTCTTTATTACTCCTGAGTCTCCAGTTATCATGCTGAGTGAGCCAAGTTCTTGCTGACTGAATCATGTTCTTATAATTCTACTGATGGAGAATAATACTGATTATATCCTGTTTCTGCTAACAAAATGGACATATACTTTTTCCCTTCTCCATGTTATGCAGGTCCAACATGCATAACCACATACTTACACCTTTTCCTTCATGAAAGCTCTAGCCAATTCTTCCATCAAGTATTTTTTGTGTCCTTACTATAATCTACTCCTTTTATGTTCTGAGCTCTGGAACTCTCTCTGGCCTCTCATTTCTTGCTACAGTGATTCCAAACTACTTGTTATTTCTCATGTGTATTTCATCCTGTTCCACATCTTCATGTCCTCACTCATGTATCTGTCTGGAACTTGAATTTGGTCATTTGCTTGGTTAACTCCTATTTGTCCTTTTAGCCCAAATCCAGGTACCCCCTCCTTTAGGAAGCTACCGTGTACTCTCTTTTGCTTTGCACAAGTCAGGTGAGGTTTGCAAACTCCGTTGGGCTCCCGTGGCACTTTGTGCACTCCTCAGTCACAGAACTTAATCTACCGTATTGACAGTGTCTGTGTGTGTCAGTCTCATTAGCAGAAATTTGAGGGAAGGGAAAACATCTTACCCATTTTTGTTTCTGCAATTCTTAAAGCAGTGTATGAAATAGAATATACACATACTAAAAACTTGTGGAACCAAACAGTATTAGAGTATAAAGTAAAATAGAAAATCTTATAGAATCTCTAGGCAATCTTTGTTTGCATTAAAATCTGTTTTTCATTCCTAGAGACCATTTACCTAGATCTCCAGCAAGGACATCCCTAGCATCTGTTGCAGCAATGTGTCAATCATGAGTTATGCATACCATCTGTCTTTTACTGCACCAGGGCTGACTGGGATTTTGGCAGTGCAGAGAAATGTGCTTTCACCTAATAAGGCTAGTTCTAACTAAAAAGTCAGTCAGTAGACATGATTATGAAGACTCTCAATACCTACATACAGTGTAGTCCAGTGTACTACCAAATGCCATGGCTCTAGCAGACCCTCTAGTACCTTAGGTGGATAGGCATAAGGAAACCCAACCATAAATCCAGCTGCCAGTATAGATGCTGTATCCTAGCACCTAGACCTGTACCTGTTATAAAGTTGGTACTCAGTAAATATTTGTTAAATGAATGACTGCATTTGGGTAAATGGATTTAGCTATATGTGAAGGAAGCTATGGTTTGGCACTTTAGCACTGTAGATTTTGATTGTGCTGGAAGCATGGCTAAGGATTGAAGCTAGGGGAGATTATGCTAAAGAAGAATTTTCTCATGGGACTCTTCCTTATATCACAGTCTCCAAAAGATAACTAACACTGCCAAGGAAAGGAGAATGTGGGAAACCCAAGTTGTATTACAACAAAATGGAATTTTAGTTGAGTCCTGATTTTGCTTTCCTCTTACTGGTTGTGCAGCTGTGCAACTTTTTTCAGATATATTATATTTGATTCTGAAGGGAGAGGGGAGTCAGAGAGGGCCTCAGGGATCAAAGATCAGGACATCCTTGGTCTGGTGTGGGTTTTGGTCTAAGCCAGCTTTGTTCTTGGAACTCTAGTTTTCTTGTGGATGAGGTTTTTGGACCAGATCATCTTTAAGCCCTCTCCAGATTCTGAGATTTACATTCTCTAACCAGTTGTAGGGTTTGAAATACGGGTTTTCCTAAATTCTGCAGGTGTTTCTTGAATGAGTTAAAAGCTGAGTATAAATAGATCAAATTTTAGATAGTGTAGTTAAGGTTATTTGGGTTTTAGCTAAAGACTTCATAGATATTTGGCAGTCAAGTTTGCATGTGATTAGTATTTAGTTATTTCTTCCTTCACATATGAAAAATCAAATAGACATGCTGTTGAAAATTAGAGGAAATAATTTCTTTTTACTTTTATGTGGTATAATTGACAAAACATTGTATATATTCAAGGTATACAATGTGATGCTACGTGGGGATGTTGGGTTTGGGAGAGAAGAGACAGCACTGGTTAGATTAGTCATGTTCAGAGACCTCTTTACATAATCTTTACTTCCATCACAGGTGCAGAAAGGTGGCTTCAGTTCTTATGTCTTCAGGATACACATATAAACTGATGGAGAAGAGCAAAAGCATACTGAGATTGGAGTCCAGGGCAAGGCCAGGTTCACTGTCCAGCTCTTGTCTCCTTTACTCAGCGAGTTCTCAAAGAGGTGTGGCTCAGATTTAGAAAAAATTTTTTTTTTTTTTTTTTTTAGACAGAGTTTCACTCTTGTTACCCAGGCTGGAGTGCAATGGCACGATCTCAGCTCACCGCAACCTCCGCCTCCCGGGTTCAGGCAATTCTCCTGCCTCAGCCTCCTGAGTAGCTGGGATTACAGGCACGCGCCACCATGTCCAGCTAATTTTTGTATTTTTAGTAGAGACGGGGTTTCACCATGTTGACCAGGATGGTCTCGATCTCTTGACCTCGTGATCCACCCACCTCGGCCTCCCACAGTGCTGGGATTACAGGCTTGAGCCACCGCGCCCGGCCTGAGGTGTGGCTCTTTCATGATTGGCCAGAATGATAAATGTTAAGATGTTGTGGACTTTCAGCATGGTTCACAAAGAGTGGAAACCTCAAATGATAATCTGTGAATTCCAAGCCACTATATTATATGGATATACAAATGTAATTTATGAATATATATTAAACAGAAATAGGATCATACAATGATGATGTTTTGCATCTTGCTATTTCTCAATTAACAGTGTCTTTTCATTTCAGTACATACAGACCTAACATTTTTTAAGTATTCCATTATATAGCTATACCACAACCTCTGAACTATGCAGTTGATCTGTTAACAACCTAGATTTGAACTGCGTGGGTCTACTTACATGTGGATTTTAAAAAATAAATATACTGGAACATTTTTGAGATTTGCAACAATTTGAAAAAAATTTCAGATGAAATACGTAGCCTAGAAATATTTTAAAACATAAGAAAAAGGTATGTAATGAATGTATCAAGTATATGTAAATACTAGTCTATTTTATCATTTACTACTATAAAATACACATAAACCTATTATAAAAAGTTAAAATTGGCCAAACGTAGTGGCTCACACCTGTAATACCAGCACTTTGGAAGGCTAAGGCAGGTGGATCAATTGAGGCCAGGAGTTTGAGACCAGCCTGGCCAATGTGGCAAAACCCTGCCTCTACTAAAAGTACAAAAATTAGCCAGGCGTGCTAACACATGGCTGTAATTCCAGCTACTAGGGAGGCTGAGGCAGGAGAATTGCTTGAACCGAGGGGGCAGAGGTTGCAATGAGCCGAGATTGCGCCACTGCACTCCAGCCTGGGAAACAGAGCGAGACTCCATCTCAAAAAAAAAAAAAAGAAGTTAAAACTTACATAAACATCGACTGCACGTGGCACAATTCACAATTGAGAGAAATATAAACAAACATAAAGACATAACCACACAAAATTAACTGCAGTACACAGGTACTACTGTAGTAATTCTGTAGCCACATCATGGTGCTATTGCTTGAGTGAGCTCAAAAGTTGTCAGCCTTAAAATGTGTGACACTAACCATCCCCTTGTGAGCAGTTTGTCTCTCCAGTACATTGCATATCACAACAAAAAGTGATCTTCTCACAGTTCCCACATATTTCTCATTGTGTTTAGTGCAATATAGTAAACCTGACAACTTAAGACAAAAGGAAGATGAAGGATCTAAAGTTGAGGAACTTAATGCCAGCAAAGGATAGTTTGATAATTTTAGAAAGAGGTTTACATTTTTTAAAACGTCAGGATAACAGGAGAAAAAACTTCTGCCAACCAAGAGGCAGCAGATGAGTTCCCAGATGCCATTAAGAAAATCACTGAGGCTGAGTGTGGTAGCTCACACCTGTAATCCCAGCTCTTTGGGAGGTTGAGGTGGGCAGATCACGAGGTCAGGAGTTCGAGACCAGCTTGGCCAGTGAAACCCCGTCTCTACTAAAAATACAGAACTTAGCTGGGCATGGTGGCAGATGCCTGCAGGCACAGCTATTCAGGAGGCTGAGGTAGGAGAATCGCTTGAACCTGGGAGGTGGAGGTTGTGGTGAGCTGAGATTATACCGTTGCACTCCAGCTTAGGCAACAGAGTAAAACTCCATCTCAAAAAAAAAAAAAAAGAAAGAAAATCACTGAAGACCAGACCCAGTGGCTCATGTTTGTAATCCTAGCACTTTAAGAGGCTGAGGCAGGAGGATCCCTTGAGCCTGGGAGTTTGAGAGCAGCCTGGGAAACACAGGGAGACCCTGACTCTACACAAAATTTAAAAATTAGCCAGGCATGGTGGTGTGTGTTTGTAGTTCCATCCACTCAGGAGGCTGAGGACGGATGATCACTTGAGTCTGGCAGGTTGAGGCTGCAGTGAGCTGTGACTGGACCACTGCATGCAAGCCTGGGTTAACAGAATGAGACCCTGTCTCCTCCACTCCAGCTCTCCCAAAAAAGAAAATAATTGAGGAGAAAGGATATCTGCCTGAAATAAGAATGAGTGAGAGAGAGAGAGAGAGAGAGAGAGAGAGAGAGAGAGAGAGAGTGTGTGTGTGTGTGTGTGTGTGTGTGTGTGTGTGTGTGTTTTAAGACAGAGTCTAGCCCTGAACTGATTTTTAATGCAGACAAAGTACCCTATTCTGGAAAATAATGCCACAAAAGACACTTATTAATAGGGAAGAGAATTGAGCACCAGGATTTAAGGCAGGAAAGGACGACAAGATAACTGTACTACTGTTTTGTGCAAATGCAGTCAAGTTTATAATCAGGACTGTCCTTATCTATAAAGCTGCTAATCCATGAGCCTTGAAGGGAAAAGATGAATACCAGCTGCTAGTCGTTTAAGTGGACAGCAAGATGGTCTAGACAACAAGAACCCTTTTTCTTTTCTTTTCTTTTCTTTTTTTTTTTTTTTTGTGATAGAGTGTCGCTCTGTCGCCCAGGCTGGAGTGCAGTGGTGTGATCTCAGCTCACTGCAACCTCTGCCTTCCGGGTTCAAGTGATTCTCCTGCCTCAGCTTCCCAAATAGCTGGGAATACAGGCACACACTGCCATTACTGGCTAATTTTTGTATTTTTAGTAGAGAAGGGGTTTCACTGTGTTGGCCAGGATGGTCTTGATCTTGTGACTTCATGATCTTCCTGCCTCCCAAAGTGCTGGGATTACAGGATGAGCCAATACACCCAGCCAATTTTTGTATTTTTAGTAGAGCCAGGGTTTTATATATATGTTGGCTACGCCGGTCTTGAATGCGTGACCTCGAGTGATTTGCCCACCTCGGCCTCCCACAGTGCTGGGATTACAGGTGTGAGTCACCACATTCAATCAAGAACGCTTTTTCTGAATTGGTTCCATTGATACTTTGTCTCTGATGTAAGGGAGTACCTTGTCAGTTAAGGGATAGCCTTTTAAAGTTCCTTTGATATGGACAATGTCCCTGACCACCTAGAACCCCATGAATTCAAAACCAAAAGTGCCAGAGTGGTCTACTTGCCCCTAAACACAACATCGCTAATTCAGCCTCTAGATCAGGGGCTTTAAGCTTCATTACACATGGTACTCTCTAGAAAGAATTGTCAATGCTGTGGAAGAGGACCCCAACAGAGAGAACGACGTCAGTGTCTGGAAAGACTACACCTTTGAAGGTGCCATTATTGTTATAGAAAAAGCTATGAAAGCCATCAAGCCCAAAACAATAAATTACTGCTGTAAAAAACTGTCTAGATGTTGTGCGTGCCTTCATAGGATTTACAACAGTGCCAATCAAGGAAATCATGAAAGAGATTATGGATGTGGCAAAAAGGGTGGGGAATGAAGAGTTTCAGGCTATGAATCTTGGAGAAATTCAAGAGCAAATAGATACCACACCAAAGGAATTAACAGAAGCCAACTTGATGGAGATGAGTATTTCTGAAGCAGTGCCAGACTGTGAGGAAGAAGATGTAGAAGAAGCAATGTCAGGAAACAAATTGACATTAGACGATCTAGCAGAAGAGGTCTGATTTTTCAAGACTGCTTTTGACTTCTTTTACAACATAGACCCTTCTATGATATGGCCACTGAAACTAAATCAGACAGTTGCAGAAGGGTTGATATCGTTATAGAAACATTCTTAGAGAATGGAAAAGCAAAAAAGACAGAAATTATGATGTGTATCCGTAGTTACACACGTGCCTGCCTCTTGTGCCTCCCCTTCTATTTCCTCTACCTCTTCTCCCTCTGTCATCCCTGAGACAAGACCAAATCCTCCTTTGCTCTTCCTCCTCAGCCTACTCGATCTGAAGATGACAAGGTGAATGCCTCTATGATGCTCACTTCCACTTACTAAATTGTAAATATACTCTTTTCCTTTTGATTTTCTTAATAATTCTTTTCTCTAGCTTACTTTATTGTAAAAATATGGTATTTAATACATATACAAAATATGTGTTAACTGTTTATGTTATCAATAAAGCTTCTGGTCAACAGTAGGCGATTAGTAGTAAAGTTTTTGGGGAGTCAAAAGTTATACACAAATTTCCTACTCTGCAGGAGATTGGCACTGTTTATTCACATGTTGTTCAAGGGTAAACTGTATATTATTATAGGTATATTAACCTTTATACTAATATACATATATGAATTAAACTTTGTATAATTTCCAGTTTTTCACTTTTACAAACAGTGCTGCAGAATATTTTTAGAAATTATTATTTGTATTTTTTAGTATCTCCTTGGGAAAATTTTTATATATGGACTTTCTGATTCAAGGATATGCATATTTTAAAAGCTTTTGGTTTTATTGTAAAAATAGTACTTATGAAAAAATGTAAAATATGGAAGTATGTAAATTACAAAATTGAAGATTCCCTCACTATCTATTTCAGTATGTGTCCCTGAAATATATATTTCACATTGTTAAAGAAATTACCAAATTGATCTCTAAAAGATTGTGCCTGTTTCTTCTGTTACCAAAATATGGAAATACCTGTTTGTCCACTTTCTTCCCGACACAGGTTATTATAAATCCTTTAAATATTTTCAAATTCAATATGCAACTTTTTCGTATTTTATTATTATGTTTTATAGAGGCAGGATCTGTGTCACCAAGGCTGGCGTGCAGTGGCATAGATCACTACAGCCTTGAACTCCTGGGCTCAATAGATCCTCCCATCTCAGCCTCCCAAGTAGCTGGGACTACAGGTGCATACCATCACACCCAGCTAATTAAAAACAATTTTTTTTTTTTTTTTTTTTTTTTTACATTTTGTGTTGGGTGAGGGTCACTTTTTAGGTCATAGAAGGTTTTTTCTTGCTGTTTCCTCACTTGGTGGAAGGCATAAGAGGTTTCTCTTGGCTTCTTCAATAAGGCCACTAGTCCCATTCAGGAGGAAAGAACCTTCATGACCTAATCACCTTCCAAAGATCTTTTTTTTTTTTTTTAAAAGAAAGAGAGAAAGAAAGAAAGAGAAATGTATTAAAAAATATATATTAAAAAACAATTTTTTAATATATTTTTGTAGAGATGGGGTTTCACCATCTTGCCCAATCTGGGCTTGAACTGGGCTCAAGCATTCCTCCCATCCCAGCCTCCCAAAATGCTGGGATTATATCTGTTAGCCATTGCACCTGGCCTAATGTTGTATTTTAAATTTGCATTTGCTTAATTATTAGTGAGATTGAACATCTTTTTTTTTTTTTTTTTTTTTTTTTTTTTTTTTTTTAATTCTTCTGAGACAGGATCTCACACTGTCACCCAGGCTGGAGTACAGTAATGCAACCTTGGCTCAGTGCAGCCTCTGCCTTCCCAGCTCAAGCGATTCCCCCGAATAGTTGGGACAATTTTGTGTAGAGATGAGGTCTCACCATATTGCCCAGGATGGTCTCCAACTCCCAGGCTCAAGAAATCCTCATGCCTCAGCTTCTCAAAGTGCTGATATTACAGACATGAGCCACTGTGCCTGGTCCATCTTCTCTTATGTTTAACTTTTTTAATGGTGCTTCTGTTCACTACCTGTTTTTTCTTTTTCCTATTTGCCACTAGGTTGTTTTATCTTTTTCTTATTAATTTGTTGATATGTGAGGTTTTGTTTTATGAAGCTTAATCTTGCTGGACATAAAATTATTGATTACTAGTTTTTTTTTGTTTTTTTTTTTTTTTTTCTTTCTTTCATCACTTTGAAAATGCCATCCCATTCTCTTCTGGCCTGTAAGAGTTCTGCTGAGAAGTGTGCCATTAGTCTGGTGGGGTTTCCTTTACAAGTAACTAAGTATGTTTTACTCTTGCTGATGTAAAATTTTTTTCCTTCACTTTGACTTTAGACAGTCTGATGATAATATCCTATGGTGAAGTGTTTTTTTTTTTTTTTTTGTAATTTATTTTCCTGGGGATTGTTGGGCCTCCTGTAGTTGCATGTCTAAATCTTTTTCTTGTCTTGAGAAATTTTCATTATTTCCTTAAGTAGGTTTTCTTCCTCCTTGAGAATACCAATAATTCTTAAGCTTGGTTGTTTTGTGTAGACCGTAATATCTTGATGTCTTTATTCATTTTTTTTCCTTACTTTTATCTGATTATTTCAAAAGACCTGTCTTCAAGTTTTGAGATTCTTTTTTTTCTGCTTAGTCTAGTCTATTTTTGAAGCATTTCAAAAGTATTTTGTACTTCCTTCAATAATTTCTCAGACCTAGAATTTCTGTTTATTTTTGAAGTCTGTCTCCTTGTAAACTCCTCATTCATATCCTAAATTGATTTTCTGATTTTCTTTATATTAGTTTTCAGGTTTATCTTACATCTCATTGAGCGTCTTTAAAATCAATATTTTGAATTATTTATCGATATTTCAAGGATTTTTTTTTCTGGTTAGGAACTATTGCCAGATAATTACTATGTTTCTTTGAGGGTGTCGTAATACCTTGTTTTTTCATACTTCTGTATCTTTATGTTTATCTTCTGTGTATCTGAAGATGTGACTATGATGCTGATTGGGTAGAGCCATTTGTCTGTGTGTGCAGTGGCAAAGGCTTTGTATGATTTTCTTGGATATACATAATCTTAATGTGGTAGCTTTCTTGAATGCTGGTTGTAGTGGTGTACTAGGCAGGTGAGCAGGCACACAACCTCCTGTGCAGCTGTGATGGTATGAGTGATGGGGGCAGTGGTGTGAGAAGCTCTTCTTGTTCTCAAGTGCTATGCTCTTGTCTTAGTTGTTGCAGTGGGCTGTTTAGGCTGTCCCAGATAGTGGATTGGGCCATGGAACCCACAGGGGCCTGGATTTTGCACCCATCTTGGAGTGGGGAGCAAAGCTAGGATGGAGCTAAGTTAGGTAGGCTTACACCCAGACCACCTACCCTGATGGGAGTGGCCGGACAGTCCTTAGGCCTCTGGTGAAATACCTGGGTTAGGACTGACCACTGTTATGCTGATGTCTCAGCATTGGAAGGGAGGGTCGTTTTACCTTCACAACCTTGGCCAGCAGACATGGGACCTGCTTCCCTCTTACACCCAGTCTTGGCAGGGTTCATGTCCTCATCTCAACTATGTTAGCCAGTCTGGCTGTTCACTTAGTCACTACAGTTTGCTTCGATTCTGCAGTGCAGCCTTGGGATATAGGAGTCACTGTCCATCTCAGTACCACTCCTCCCTGGCACCTCTCCTACTCTGGTCCATGGGTGGGGTTGGGGGGAGCCCAGTTTTAGCACCAGCGGCCGGAGCCCATACCACACTCATTTCTCCGTTCTGGCTGTGGAAGCCCCTCCCACAGGTTTCAGTTCCCCAAGTCCCAGCCTGAGTCTCTCTAATGCCAAAGACTGCTGCTATGGCTAGCTCCCAGGCGTGCAAGGTGCACAGCTTGCTAAGAGCTAGGAAAGCGAATAGTGTCCTGTTGTAGGTGTCTAGGTCTGAAGGAGTGCCTGGGATATTTCCTTGAGCAGTTCCTTCTCACAGTCTCCTGGCTGCTCCCTACATTAGATCTAGGGCTTAGAAGGGGCAAGGTGCTTTTCTGTGGTCTGGATTGCACAATTTCCTGCTGGAAAAGTGGACCGCAGAGAGATACCCACCCTCTCCCACATTGGGGATTCATTCCTGGCTTTTGGCCAGTCCTGGCCATACGGGCTACCTACCCTCCTTCTCCTTCTCAGATTTTGAAGTTTCTTTTTGCTTTTCTGTTGAACTCTTGTTGCTTTTCATGTCAAACATATTATCATAGATAATATGTTAAAGTGTGATTATCTCCACACTATTTTGGTTCTTCTAAGTTTATAAAAAAAAAAAACCTAGAAAAGCCTCTAGTGCTAGAAAAGCCTCTAGTCAGCCATTTCGGGGGAAAAACCCCCAAGATATGTCTTTTTTAAAATGATTTGTAAGAGTTCTTTTAAAAAGTCTTTTTAAATTTATTTTTTTTATTTTCTAGAGGCAGAGTCTTGCTCTGTTGCTCAGGCTGGAGTGCAGTGGCATGATCATAGCTCACTATAATTTTGAACTCCTGAGCTCAAGCAGTCCTGCCTTGGCCTCCCCAGTAGCTGGGACTACAGGCAAGAGTTCTTTATACATTAAGGGAATTTGTTTTTTTTACAGATATATTTTTGGTCACCCTATATTTTGGCTTTGTTTATGATGTATTTTGCCACCCAGAAGTTTTTTATTTTTCTGAAAAATATTTTGTGGCAACCATTCTTTCAAAACTTAAGACCTAGATCAACTTTCATAGCTGCTTTTCTCAGCTAAAATTAAGCTAAAAGTACACTTAATAAAAGACGCAGGGATAGGGGAGCATGGGAAAGGTAAGAGAGCATCATGTAGCCCAAAGTTTAACAGTTCCACTTAAAGATGCAGGGTTGCGGGGCTCTTTTGCTTAAGGTGACTCAGCTAGCAGCAAGATGGCCTACTCATTTCCCTCTCAAAGCCAGCTCCTTATAGAGTTCCCTAATAATCTTAGCCTGGCCTTACTACCAAGATTGCTGTTTCCAGGTCAAGAATCTCTCTTGTAGCACTCATCATTAATCAGGCAATACCAGTGAAATTTCCCTCCTGGCCCCTGCCCTTTGGTAAAGCTGACTCCCAGTACCATCAGTATAGTCTCTATTTGCCTAACACTGAATGACAATTTAGAAGCAATTATGTGTATATTAGGTAAATCCTGTCTACAGGCAAAATATGAGTGACAGTACGTAACTAGGAAAATGACTAATCGTAAGCAGGAGTTGTACAAGATGTGCTTTTGCTTATGATTAAAAGACTGCTGATTAGAACTAGGGTGTTAGAAACATCTGGTCATTCATTACTCTGCTTAAAAGCCTGTGACGAATCCCTGTCTCATGCAGTATAAAGGCCAAACTGCCTACCATGGCATATGAGGTCTTTCACATCCTGCTCCTAACCTATTTTTTCAGCCAGCTAAACACAATGCTAAGCATTTTCATTTCACCCATATTTATTGAGTACATGCTAGTTACCAAACATTGTTCTAGGTTCCGGTGTTAGTTGTCCCTGGCCTCGCATGCTTTCTGGCTAGTTAGGGACACAGAGAATCCCACGTAAGCAAAACAATCTGTAGGGTAGTCAGGGTGGACTTTTTCTGAGAAAAACACATATAAACTGAGACCAGAAGATTGAGAAGGAACTAGCCCTAAGAAGAGATGGGAAATAAGGGGAGGGTGTTCTAGGCAGTGGGCACAGCAATGGCCTTGAACTTGTAGAGTTTGGGTGTTCTAGGAACAACAGAAGGTTGGGACAGCCAGAGCTCAGGGGAAGTGACAAGACCCCAGTGAGTTGCTATTAAACCTATGGGTAGGGGCCAGATCACATAGTACATTGTAGGATATAGTAAAGGAATTCAGATGAAGTGCAATGAGGTGCCTGAATCTGGGTTTGACCTCAGGCCAGGCTGGCGACAAGACCATGTAGTGGTTTTAAGCTTTATCTAATTTATCTGCATCACAGCTCTCTGAGGTAGATATTACTAATAACCAGTTTTATGGATGAGAATCCTGAGGAAGAAAATTAGGTAATTGGTCAAGGTCACACAGTTGGAAAGTATTGGAGCTACTGGATCTGTCTGACTCCAGAGCACATGTTCTCAAATTTAATTGTGTATACATCTAATTGCTTTATTTTGTAAGTAAGGGAATTGAGATTCAGAAAAATTAAAAATAAGCTAGAATAAGTAAGAGGATATGAGGCACTGTTCAAAAAATTTAGGCTCTTCCTCCATCTGGAAAGATAAAGAATTTTCTAGGAGATGGTGGAAGCTTCTAACACTATGAGGCCCCTGAAGAGGGCATTGCTGACTTGTTCACTACAAAAATAACTCAGGCATCTTTTGAAGCTTCAGAGAAATAATTCACAGGTCAAATAAAAGGAAGTGCTTTTGATACAGTTGGTAGCTGATTATTTCAGATACAGATTAACAATAAAATGTTTCCAGTAGCTTTTAGGAAGTCTGCAGAATAAGTTAGCAAAAGAGAAAACCTCTTCTGTACAAAGCACACTAAAATACTGATGAAAATGTCTGTAAGGTAAGTTTAAATAACTAAGAAAATGAGGAAAACATGAGTACAGGGAAACTGAAATTTTATAATAATAAAAAATGAAAGCAATTTTAGTTGTAATAGTTTTATAATATTTAAACATTTTAGTTTTATATGTCTTCAGAAAAAAACACTTATGGATGATTTTTAAAAATATAACTGAGAAGCCACCATAGAGGGATAAAAGAAATAATATATTTTCTTAGTTTTTACAGAGAAAATGAAGTTCTTATTTCTAGAGAAATCCATATTGATCTGGAAAGTGTGGTCAAGTTACTGCCAGGATGCCAGCTTTATACCTGGGGAAAAGGCTGAGGCACAAGTTCTTTTAGAATCTTGTTTGCTTATGCTGCATTTCTCTCTCAAAATACTCTCTCAGCATATACAGTTGGAGTAACTCTCACTCAAGAAAAAGTGTCCTTTAGTTCATGAGACTTTTACAACCTGAAATAAACTGATGATCAATTTTGATCTATTATGATTCCCGTTGTCCTGTCAGTTTCCGTCTACTGAGAGCATCCTACCACCCAATTTAGAATGATCTTCTCTATGAATTCAGTCATACCATTTAACACCTGAGGGCTGTCAGAGTTCAGGGAAGCAAAGGGTATTCTTGGTCTCTCTAGAAGTTTGGAAATTACTGAATGAGAATTTCATAACCTTTTTTTTCGAGACGGATTCTTGCTCCGTTGCCCAGGCTGGAGTGCAGTGGCACAGTCTCGGCTCCCTGCAACCTCTACCTCCAGGGTTCAAGCGATTCTTCTGCCTCAGCCTCCCAAGTAGCTGGGACTACAGGCGTGTGCCACCACACCTGGCTAATTTTGTATTTTTAGTAGAGATGGGGTTTCACCATGTTGGCCAGACTGGTCTCGAACTCCTACCTCAGGCGATGCACCCGCCTCAATTTCCCAAAGCTCTGGAATTACAGGCATGACCCACTGTCCCTGGCCAATAACCTTAATATCTAATTATTTCTGCTGCTTGGTTTTCTAGTAAGTGTCTCATCATGATCATGGCCAGCAGCTGGCTTGGGTCTAACATCACTTCTGTGTTCTCCTCTTCCTTCAGGATTTCTCTTGGTGATCTGCCTTTTTGGTACTTAGTATGCATACAGTTGTGCTTTCAAGATGTCAAATGAACACAGCAGCTTTATATTATTAGCTTAACTTGTAGTATATATTTAAAAATATTAATGTCATAAAGTAGAAATTGTGGGTTTTGATCAAACTTTTTTTTTTTTTTTTTTTGAGATGTAGTCTTGCTCTGTCACCCAGGCTGGAGTGCAGTGACATGATCTTGGCTCACTGCAACCTCCACCTCCCAGATTCAAGCGATTCTTCTGCCTCAGCCTCCTGAGTAGCTGGGACTACAGGCATGTGCCACCATGCCTGGCAAATTTTTGTATTTTTAGTAGAGATGGGGTTTCACTATGTTGGCCAGGCTAGTCTTGAACTCCTGACCTCGTGATCCACCTGCCTCAGCCTCCCAAAGTTCTGAGAATATAGGGGTGAGCCATCACACCTGGCCAATAAGATGGTTTTTATAGGGATTCTGTTGAGCAAAAGTCTACCTAAGCTATGGGGAGAGGAATAGGTAGCATATAAGATTTAAATATGAGCAAGTTTTAACTAACCTAAAGGCTCTTCATGCTTACTCATGTTCTCTTCATCACCTTTAAAACAGCTTCCTATTGTGAAATGCTGTTTTGTTTGGGCAAGCTAGCCTGTTGTTAAGCTTGAGTGACTAGGTTTCTGTTTTTTACTCATGCTTGTGGTTGACAGCAAATTACAGTATTATTTTTAACATTAAGATGATTTATTGTTTATTAATAATCGGAAAAAAGTGGGCAAAGGATATGAACAGACACTTTACAAAAGAAGACACACAGGAGGCCAACAAGCATATGAAAAAATGCTCATCATCACTGGTCATTAGAGAAATGCAAATCAAAACCACATTGAGATACCATCTCACGCCAGTTAGAATGGCAATCATTAAAAAATCTGGAGACAACAGATGCTGGAGAGGATGTGGAGAAATAGGAACACTTCTACACTGTTGGTGGGAGTGTAAATTAGTTCAACCATTGTGGAAGACAGTGTGGTGATTCCTCAAGGACCTAGAAATAGAAATTCCATTTGACCCAGCAACTCCATTACTGGGTATATATCCAAAGGATTATAAATCATTCTACTGTAAGGACACATGCACACGAATGTTCATTGCAGCACTGTTTACAATAGCAAAGACCTGGAACCAACCCAAATGCCCATCGATGATAGACTGGACAGGGAAAATGTGGCACATATACACCATGGAATATTATGCAGCCATCAAAAACAATGAGTTGTGTCTTTTGTAGGGACATGGATGAACCTGGAAACCATCATTCTCAGCAAACTGACACAAGAACAGAAAATCAAACACCGTGTGTTCTCACTCATAGGTGGGCGTTGAACAATGAAAACATATGGACACAGGGAAGGGAGCATCACACACTGGGGTCTGTTGGGGGGAAATAGGGAGGGACAGTGGGGGGTGAGGAGTTGGGGAGAGATAGCATGAGGAGAAATGCCAGATATAGGTGATGGGGAGGAAGCCAGCAAATCATGCTGCCATGTGTGTACCTATGCAACAATCTTGCATGTTCTTCACATGTACCCCAAAACCTAAAATGCAATAAAAAAATAATAATAATCGGAAAAACATCAGACAATGTTTGCTGTAAAAAAAATTACAAAAACAAAAATTAACCACTGCTATGATTGTAAGTGTCATATCATTTTCCTTTTTACAAAATGTACATATTGGTAGGGCACATTGGCTCGTGCGTGTAATCCCAGCACTTTGGGAGGCTAAGGCGGGAGGATCGCTTAAGCCCAGAAGTTGGAGATTATCCTGGGCAACAGGTTGACACCCCATCTCTGCTGAAAATACAGAAATTAAACAGGCATGGTGGCATGTACCTGTTGTCACAGTTACTCAGGAGGCTGAGGTGGGAGGGTCACCTAAGACCAGGAAGGTTGAGGCTGCAGTGAGCCATGATTGTGTCCCTGTACTCTAGCCTGAGCAACAGAGCAAGACCCTATCTCAACAAACAAACAAATATATGTATTGTTTTCACTTAAAAATATATTGCAAACACTTTGGCCACATATATTCTACTCACAGATATTTTATGATCATCTATATTTTATGTTACTATTTCCTTTAAAATTGTGCTGAATTTCCTTAGTCAATTTTTTATTGTTGGTCCTTTCAGTTTCTTTTTGTCGTCTTTTCTTTTTTTTTTTTTCAGGGAAAAATTATGTTATTAAAATCTTTATATAGTTTAGGTAACTTCTTTAAGCTGTAACCCTACAAATATTACTGGTAAATCCCAGCTACTTGGGAGGCTGAGGCAGGAGAATCTCTTGAACTTGGGAGGTAGAGAGTGCAGTGAGCTGAGATCACACCATTGCACTCCAGCCTGGGCAACACAGTGAGACTCCATCTCAAAAAAAAAAAAAGAATTTTTTTTACATTTTTAAGATTTTTGAAAAAAAGATTGTCAAGCTTCCTTCCCAGAAATGCTATGAAGATTTATATGCTGAAAACCAGTGCCTGAGATTTCTAATTCCCATGCCCTTGCCAGTATTTTCAAATTTCTAATATTTTAAAATTTGACAATTGAAAATGGTACCTT